GGAGTACCCTAAACCCTAGACCCTAAACCCTAAGAAGTGTCACTCCTATAGGCTGCAGGATCCCAAAACTTTTTACTCCCAGCAGGAGCCTTAACCTCCAGCCCAAAGGAAAAAGATCTACCCAGACTCCCTTCGGCCCTGAACTCCTTCTGACAGTTATTGGGGTTTAGGGTTTAGGGTTTTAGGGTTTAGGAACCCCAGATCCTAAGCCCTAAGCCCTAAACCCCAAAACCCTACACCCTCTCTCTCTCTCTCTCCTCCCCCCACGTGCTCAGCTGAAGACTGACGCAGTTGAGGCACATCGTACCGCGTATTCTAGACCCTAAACCTCAAATCCTAAATTCCCAGAGTCTACTTTAAGGAGCCAGATTTTAGGGTTCAGGGTCCCCCACTTAAGCAGATAGAATGTGGGGTACGTGGGGATCTTATTGTGATATTGCGAAGTCCATACTCTACCTGCTGAAGGGGCACTGCAAGTGCTAGGCGTTGCTATAGCTTAGGCCCGGGGTGGTGCAAGATCTATTCCATCACCCTCATCTTCCCTTGAACCCAGAACTCCATTTTGCATCACCCTCAACCCTGCACCCTAGACGTCATTATCAAATCGCTAGCAGGGGCAGTTTAAACGCAAAACCCTAAATCCTAAATCACAAGCACGAAACCCCTAAATTAAATTAGAGTTATTACTGTTACTGGTAATGCTAGCACTTTTATGAGTATTGATTACTATTTCCCCTGAAGCCCTAAGCCCTAAACAAACCTTTAAGAGCCCTGGGGCATGCCCCACAATCGCTTGGCTGTGCGAAGCTTCGCCCTTGTCAGGAGCTAGATTTCAGGGTCTCGGGCAAGGCATGCTTACTACGAAACACTCGTGTCTATAGAATATAGATTGTACCTGGCTATAACTTCGGCATTTTTCTACCCAGGTTAGGTTCGGGGCTTCAGCACGTGCGTCGCAGACGGACGGCTAGTCTAGCTCTGAGGCCAAATTGTGATCACTACAACTCATCAGAGATGCCATCTGAGCCAAATGCTACGCCAAGGATCTTGATTTCCTTCGAATCTGGTTGTGGCTCAAGTTGGGCCACTTCCGAAATAGATGTGTGTCTCCACAACTTGCTAAGGTGGCTTCGTCTCAAGGAAGGGCCCCTTAATTATACCTTCCAAACCACTATCACTAGCAACCCCGTGGGCAGGACTTGTAGACGGAACCCCTAACAGCAATAAACCCAGTTAGACGCCCCTGATGCGGGCATCCCAAACGTATCGGGGGTTTGACTCCCCTGTAATCTTAGAAGGGCGCATGAAAGGCTTAGGTGGATCGTATATGCACAGGCCTATGGCGGAAGAAGACATGAAACATGTGAAGCAAAACCTCACACCCCGAGCCCAAAACCCCAATAAAACAGAAATGTCACCCAGAAATGTGTAAGACAGCCACCAGAACTCATCGGTCATGGTGATGGGCGCCATGACTATCCTTGGCAGTGGAACTTTCACTGGATGGAATTCCTGAAACGTATGCGTCCCTTCTTGGGGGTCTTTGCCATTATGTAAGGGCTATGGGAATGTTACAGGTCTGAGGCGCACGGATTGCTAAGCGTCATGGGTCGTTTGTAGGTGTCCTTCTCAAAGTGATCATGCTCTCTGAGGGGTTTAGGTCTAGGGCAGTAGGAAATAGCTGCGTTGGTTTTGGGGTTTGCGATCTAGTGAGGGGTTCTCGAAACAAGGAAACTCGAGGCTACAAAAGGATTTCTACGTCCATCATACACTTCGTACAGGAGCTGTTTCGAGAAACTCGAGTTGCTGTCCGTCTGCATCTGCTGCAACAAACGCCCTTGACTAACGTAGAATAAAGCTTGAATTGAATACCTGCCACTGGTATCCCCTTTAACCCTATTTAAGCTGTAGTATCTGCCCCAGACCCCAATTTTAGTTATTCGAGCCCCTACAGTATACCAACAGCTATATTAACCTAGCTTCTACTTCATAATCCTTTTGATTCCCCATAATTTGAACAATGCAGGCACTAAACTCTGAACCCAAAGCCACCCTGAGTGAAACAGTAGCAGCTTCCATTTTCGTATATTCTACAGTAACATAAGAGGACTCCCCTAAATTAGGCCCCTACAATTGAAATAAGGCCCTAAAATCAACAAAGCCCTGTTAGTACCAAGAAAAACCCCTATACTATCTCTATGTAAGCCCAGCTTCCACTTCATTTTCTATGTTGCTGTCCGTTTGATCTTCTATTTTGGGGCACTCATCCTTCTAGCCCCCCCGTAAGTAGATAAAATATGGGGTATATGGGGATCTTCTTATAATATACCCAAGGTCAAATTCTATCTACTTAAAAGGGGACTATAACCCTTTGACCCTGGGTAGGCCCCTACAGCAGCCCAGTCTTGCCATGCAGGCTGAAATGGCCACTGGATGCTTCTAAAGGTGTAGCTTAGGTTAGGCTCCAGCCACTGGTACAGACCACAACCGTAAACCCTAATCCCACCCTAAACCCTAAACCGTAATCCCTATTGGGGTCCCTGTATGTTCTCTTCTATCACCACTGCTGGCCGACCCGAAGAATGAAGCTTCGGGTTGAGGACTTGGGGTTTGAGGACTTGGGGCATACATCCTGGTGGTTTAGGGTTTAGGGCTACCAACGGAGCTCAACCCTAGACCCAAGCTCCAAAACCATGAGGCCGAACCTCTGAAACCTTGAGCGCTAGAAGCCCTGAAGCTCCAAACCAAGCACAGTAAAGTTGTGCTAGGCGGGCTGACTATAAACACTAATGCCCTCAGTGCTTTCCACTAGTAGGTATAATGGACTATAGGATATTACCTGGCTATGACGTGGGTTTCTCCCTACTGCAGCTCCCAAACCTGTACACCCAAATCAAGGCTTACAGCAAATCTAAGCCCCAAAAATTCAACCTGAACTAAGCTTCAAAACCCTCAACTCTGAACTCAGAAAAAAGTATGATGAGAATGCTCATTACTGCTGGTACTGCAAATACTACAATTATTACCATTGTTACTGTTACCGTCCGTATTCCCTTTTGCAACTGGTAATTGTTTTTCAACTCTGGACTGTTGGGCAAGTAATTAAGGGAGAGAGAATCCAGGTACCATTGTAATAGGGGTAAATACGGGGATTATATGTAATTACTAGGGATCCCTAAACCCTAAACCCTAAACCCAAACCACAGCACCGGTAAATTTGGGCCAAGATGCACATCTGTCACGCTGCTCAAACACCCGGTGGCGTTCAACTCGCACGTGTTCCTCAGCTGATTTCAGAGCTTAGGGTTTAGGGTTAGGGGTTTAGGGGTTAGGGTTTAGGGGTTTTGGGGTTTAGGGTTTAGGGTTTAAGGGTTCCTGTAAAGGGGTCATAGAGGATGCATGGGGGCCGTTTAAATTCAGATATGTATAGTGCTCAGGGTTTCTAGAAATGAAGGACCCTTTTGGGGTCTTTCTTGTGATAAGGTGCAGCATGGGTCTCCCTCTTTAGGGATGCTCCCATGTACGAGTTTTTGTCAAGTGGGTGAATTGCAAAATAGCTGTAGACGGATCAAGGACCTGCATAGAATGCACGGCTTCGAAAGGCCTACTCGCATAGAAGCGTCCAAAAGATTTGTTTAGGGTTTACGCTTTGGGGTTTGGGGTTTGGGGTGGTGTTCCAAAACTCCGTGGAATAGACCTTCTCAAGATACCCACCATGACGGTGAGGTCGGGTGAGGTCGTCCCAGTTCGTCTGAGGTAAGGTTGTAGCCTGCCGTTATTCTAAGGTTGGAAGTATGATTTAGGGTTTAGGGCTTATATAAGATTCAGGGTTTGGGGTTTAGGGTTTAGTGGCCCCAAGTGTGGGCCCTTAATCCTGGGCTTGTTATATACCTATTCTACACAACCCCAAACCCTTCAAAAATCCTATACTAACCCAATCAAGGATCCCTAACCAAGTCAAGACCATTCTGATGCCCTAGATTGCGTACTCCGCTCTGCAAGTTTGAACCCCCCACCACCCCCCCCGTAGTATATTCCCATTCTGGCATGCTTGTCAATCTAAACTTGGATGATCGTAGTAGGGCTACCTCCTGTCCCCAGTAACCCCTGTTCCGAAGTAGCCTTACCAAGTCAAGAGATCCTCAAAGCATAGATGCTATTAGGGGTGGGGGCTTTGATCCCCCATTCAAGTCACAAACAGGGTTTAGGATTGTATGTTGGGATCTTATTATGGTTTTGGCGGAGTCCAAAGTCTATCTGCTTAAGGAGGACTATAAACCTCTGCCTAGCATCAGCCACTCCATGTGGTTGCCGCCCAAAATTGCATCCCACTGGTCCAACCTCATGGTGGCTTGCATTGAAAGGGTTTAGGGTTAGGGCTTAAGGCTCAGGGCTCTTTTTTTAACAACCCCTCGCACCTTTTCTGATGCAAGACTTAGGGCTTAGGGTTTAGGGCTTCTTGTTGTTGAGGTCGGGGGCACCGATGCTGAGAGTTTTGCCTGAGTTGGTAATTTCCAGAAAGGTGGGCACCCCAATATAGACTTTAGACCCCCATGTGTTTGTAGCTTTTTATTGGATCCCAAACCCCCCTAGGGCCAAGACTTCCATCCGCGGCTCAGGCCCGGGAAGAGAAGGAGAATCCCTGCTGTTGTTATAAGCCACCCGATGGGCACGCTCTGTATTAGACATGAATGGCGCATACTCAAAGCTGGCAAAGAAAACCCCGAACTGAAAGAAAGCTCCAGCTCTCAGATACTTCAGGGCAGTTGATAAGGCCCCCCCAGCCCCCGATAGGCTCCTGATATGGCCCCCAATACTCTCAAGAAAGGTGTGGGTTGGAGGGACTTCTATTGGAGGGACCCAAATCAACCCCCTGATGCATGACTTGGTCTTGCTTCTGCCTGTTTAGCTTACTGGTTGTTGGTCGGGAATGGAGGAATGGACCCTACTGTATTCCCGGGTCACAAAATCTAGGGTCTGAATAAACGTAGTCAGGTGCGGGGGCGGAATCGGGGCAAATTGCAAAGCTACATAGGTCCTCCCTTAAAACGCACAATTTTCGTCCAGAAACTCGAATAAAAACCCTAAACCCCTAATTACACTCTATACCCTAAACCCTAAACCCTAAACCCTAAACCCCTAACCCTTCAACCTCAGGTCTGCCAGGAGACGCATCTTGCAGGATTTTGCGGGCCCGACGGCGTCGGCCTGCCGCAAGGCCTCTCACCACCTGGGAATAGGATTTGGGATTTAGGGTTTAGGGGTTCAGGGCTTAGGTTTTTTTGGTAGGGGTTTTGAGGGTTTAGGGGTTTAGGGGTCTAGGGGGTGTAGCGGTTTAGGGGTTTGGGGGTTTAGGGTTTAGAGGTTTGGGGGTTTCGGGTGTAGGGTTACTGGGTTTGTAAAGGGCTTCTGTGAGGGTTATATAGGGATACTTAGGGCTTAAGGTTTAGAACCCCGAGTAACTAGAGTAGTGGAAAATCATGTGGGAAATGAGATGGAAATTGTGTTTACAAAGGGCTTTCAGAGGGTATGGAAGGGGGCGTAAAGCATTAGAATAGGGCATTGGGGTATGCTATGCTATATGGACAGGAGCTTACGCTTCAACATGACAGCACTCCAGGTTGTGGGCCTATGAAGTCCTGAAACCTTAAACCCTAAACCTTAAACCCCAGAACCTTAAACCCTAAACCTTAAACACTAAACCTTGAATCCTAAACCTTCAACCCTAAACCTGAAAGCCCTAAACCTTATAGTCCCCCTTAAGTAGCTAGAATATGGCTTTGGGCATATTATAATAAGATCCCCATATACCCCATATTCTATCTACTTAAGGGGGACTATAAACCTTAGGGTTCACGATACAGGGCTCAGAGTTGACGGAGACAAGCTCAGGGTCCATTTCACTACTGTTCAGGGCTGAGGGTTTAGGGTTTAGGGTATAGGGTTTTGGGTTGAGGGTATAGGGTTTAGGGTTTAGGGTACTACGTACATGCTGGAAAGGGCTCATGCACAAGCGGCAGCGGCCCAAAGAGGCTTTGCAGGAACATGTTGGTTTCTTAAACATGTAGAAGGCCGAGTCAAGCGGCCGGACTATGCTTCGTAGCTTCAGTTCCTAAATCAGGAGTGACCTAGTTGGTGACTTTGCTGGCTTAAAAACAGGTTCACTTGTAATTAAGCTATCATAGTATACTAAGGTCAGGCAGGTTCACCTTGTAATTAAGGTTAGGGTTAGGGTTCAGGGTTTAAGGTTCACCGATTAGGGTTTAGGGAGTAAGGTCAGGCAGGATGTTGCCAAATGAGTTACCACTCTGGCAAGGACTGCGTATATCCAACAAAGGCATTTCACTTGGAAGGTCATGGCGCCTTAGTAAGTGGGTTAATAACAAGGGTAAGTGGAGTTATTCAAGGGTTCACAGGGCTGGTAAGTATGCAAAAAATCTCCCTGACCGCCCAACCGTCAACCCTAAACCTTAAGCCTTACTAAGTCCTCCTGACCCTCCAAATGAGGGTTGGACACGAGGATCCAGCCAGGAAGGATCTTGATTGCGATGCTGTAACAAAATGCGGTTACGGGTTTACGGTTTAGTGTAGGATTCAGGTCTTCTATTAATATAGGGCTTAGGCCTTAGGTTATCTTTCCAACTAGGGTTTAAATTTTGGGAAACGCCATGTACATTGGTCATTCTCAGCATGTTGGCCGTGCTGAGATAACATCAGCTAAAAAAACACAACATTCTGGGGCCCAAAAATAGCCCTAAAGCGACTGTACCTGTACTGTTGATGCACCAAGTACGGCAAAAATCAGAAAACTTCTTGGGGTTCAGGATGCTTAAGCTCATGCAGGCTGCAGCAGCCGATCCACAGCAAAAAAAACATCTTTCCTGGGTTCAGGGTTTAGGGGTGTAAGGGTTTAGGGTCTCCCTTTTTCTCGGCCTCTCCGAGGCTTTGAAACCTTTAGCGACTGGTGGAATCCTAATTACGTGCGGGTCAAGCATCCTGTCATACAATACCCCGACACCGTGTCACCTACAAACCCTGAAGCTCTCAAGACCCTAGCTTACCCAAATAAGCCCAAACCTTCACCCGTCGAAAAACTGCCTCAAGTCGACCCTGTATAACCCGCAATAGTTTCCATCTTCTTTCACCTTCCTTCATGAAGCCCTAGAAACCTGACTCCTTGAGCCGTGTCTGTAGTAGTTACCATGTTCATTTTCCCTTCATTTCCTACGAACTAACGACCAGCAAGTTAATCCTGAGCCCCTAAACCCTATACATCCCTGTGAACCCCCAAGTGCCCATTTCATGTTGCGTTTTCTATTTATCTAAGGCTCCATCATTAGGCTGAATCCCAAACCCCTAGCTCTAAACTCCAAACCTTAATCCATAAACCCTGATCCCCATACTTCCCCCAAACCCTATCTCCCAGCATCCCCCTTAATAACTATCATAATCCCCCAGCAATCGCTTATATACACCCTTTTAGGCGTTTGCACCCCAAACCCTGAACCCTACGATACAAGCCCATGTATTTGACTAAAGCTCCCATAACCTCTTATATAACCCTAAACCCTAATCCCTTCAAAGGGACCTAGGGTTTCCATTTTGTTTTCCATTATCCGTAAAAGATACCGCTTACAAAATAATAGTTTCCAGCTTAATTTCCATTATCACAATAAATATAACCCCTATATGACCCCTATTATACTATCCCGTTTTGAACTGCAGCGTTCGTCCAGGTGACATCTGCCTTCCTGTCGTAGCTGCCCTTGCTATCCGCGGCCACCTACCCCCAAAGGTCCAGAAGCTTGAAATAGGGTTTAGGGTTTCAGGGTTTAGGGTTTCAGGGCTTGGAGGGTTTGGGGTTTGAATCTTCAAGGCGATGATGGGCTTGTGGGGGGTCTGGGCTTTGGAGTGTTTAGGAATGTTTGGGAATTTGGGGGTTTAGGGCTTTGGGCTTTGGCGGGTGTAGGTTGGTCAAAGGCGTTTACAATTACAAAGACTGTGAATACATCTCTCTCTCCGCCGCTCTGAATACAGACCTGAGCCAAATGATGGATCTGGAGGGACCACTTACACACTCTCAGGCGGCAGGAAATGACAGGAAAGTCTGACGTCTCCGTTGATCCTTACTTACAGGGTTCCACCGCTGCTTACATGGTATGCACTTCTGCCGCGGTCCCATGCGAGTTTATAGGCTTTTTACTAGTTCTGGTTAAAAAAAAACCCAAGCCTCTCTCGAAGTTGGAGGCTACATGCATGTCCAGAAAAATCTCAGAACCCGGAACGGGATCCGTACAACACGCAAATCCTCTGGGATTTTGCCGCTCCTACTGCCAGAGGGTGTAACGCATATACGTAGGGCTCCCATGCATTACTGACGCGCCTCTATGCGCTAAAGCTAGATTCCGACTGTATTCCCACACCCCTGCTCCATTCTTGGCAACTGAGCACAAGCATAGCACTCACAGAGGCGCTTATGAACTTTGATTCCCATACCGCAGGCTTTGGCGGATGGGGCCCAGCGCCGCAATCAATCCAAGCGTTGCATGCGTTTGCCCTATGGTCTGGGGGCAAGAAGGGCTAATGCCCCTACAAGGATGCTGCCAATACTCAGCATGCCGGTGAGACGAACCCCGATTCCAGTGTTGCTGGCCTGACTCTCTTGCCTGTCCAAGAAATCATCCCGGCAGCCATACAAGAAGGTGCTTGGTTTTGTTCGCGCTGGCTGCAGAATAGCAAGGGATCCACCACCGACCTGCATGCCTTTGACGGAAGCTCTAGGGCGCCATACCACGTTGCCCAACGCATAGACCTGACATTGCAGGGCTTAGGGGTATTACCTAATCAGCTCCTCAGAGTATGAGCGCAGTGGCGGGAGCATTAAGCATGTCAAGCTCCAGAGACAAGAGCATCAAGGCTCGCTGATTTACACTGCATCACATGCCTGAAAATGGTTGGGGTAAGCATACATACGCCACCATTTGGGTTCAAGTTAGGTGGGTCACTAGAATTCGCCCAGATGTGAACCTCCTGGCCCATCGGCAGAAGGCGTTCTCGAATTTCGTAGCCAAGCACACGAGAGGCAGGCCGTGCGGGGCGGTCATCTCTGTGGCTCACATTGACATTCACGTTCACTGCTATTGCCTACATCGGTTGGGGGTCAGGTAGGGGCGGGCCTAAAAGATCCTGCAACGGCAGGCTTGGATTGTTGCAATCGTACTACGAAATAAGAAATAAAATGGGTGCAAGCAGAACGGACTGCTGGCGGTGCCGCTGGCATCCGCTGGCGCTGACGGCGGTGGTGCGGGCGGCGGCGGCGGTGGGTTCGGGGGTGGTGGGGTTGCTCAGCAGTGGCGGGAAGGCGCGGGTGGCTCAGCCACCCGCAACAGACCCCTCAAAAACTACCCCACCTCGTTGGGCTCAAACGTCCTCGTCTCTGGTTGACACCTGGAGCTTTCTGAACATGCAGGGTACCCTCAGACACGGGGATCAAACCGGAAAAGGGGGTCCTCTCAACGATTGCTCTCAGACACTCCCGCCTCAGGAGGGTCTTGACGTCAAACCTGCCCAGATCTAAGCAGATTTGTGCCGGGGAGGTGAACGTCCCAGGTGTTGCTCCTCAGCTTGGCTTGAGCCGCTGTAAGCTATTAATTCCTCTACGTACATGAACCTTACACAAGCATGAAAAGGGAAATGATAGCTACACAACGCCAATCGGTGTCCCAAGATCCAAGCTGGCGGAAGCAAACCCCAGTGGGAGAGATTAGCGTCTTGTTTTCAGCCTCAAGTCACAAGCTGACTAGGGGTCTAATCTGTTCCGCCATACAATGCATGAGGCTTCAAAAGAAATAAAAGGCAAATCTATAACTAAAGCATGCCCCAGTAACCTCCGAGAAGCGGATGTGCGATACCCACTGGCCTTGCTTCCTGCGGCCCGTGTCCACCTGCATATTACTTCATGTGCAGATTCCAACCGAAAAGCTACCTTGTGTGAGACGTACCTGTCTGACAGTTTGCTTTCTTGAAGCATGCCTTTTGGGGCCCCTACGTTTTTCGAAGCTTGCAGCCAGGGTTTTCTTTCTAAGACTATTAGTTCGGGCCGGGTGTCCAGGGCCCGCCTGGTTTACTGAATTGTGTGACTTGTGGTTGATACCAGGCCAGTGCTAACAGACTATACTATCACAAACCCCACAAACTCATCTTGGGGAGTTTCATTTCATTTTCTATTTGGTTCTCCATTATACCCACACCCTATATGCCCCTACGCATCCCCTGTATAACCTTCATGTGTATGTTGGAACCAATGCCTTCTCCTCCACCCTCTGGCCATTGCTATTGGTGACCTCTCTGGTCTCGTAAATCTTCTCACCTCAAGGATCAAGGTTTAGGAAGGGCTTTTGATTTTCCATTATCCCTAAACCCTGTCATCCCAGTGTCCATTTCATGTCATTTCAGTGTCCAGCTCATGGCAGTTTCTTTTCTATTCAATTCTCCGCTGTTACACTGATCCCTAAACCCTTTTGCATCCAGCCTGCAGCGCCTCTGCTGGGAAAAGGCAGGGCCCTAAACCCTAAACTCCAAAACCCTAAGCCCTAAATAGTAAGTTCCATTTTTCCAGTATCCTTATATAAAGCCGTAGATATCCCTGTGTATTATTGTAACTTCCATGATCTTTTCCATTATCCCTATATATAACCCCATATTCCTTAGAGTCTAAGAGTGCTCACCTTCCTGCCACTGGTACTCCTCCTTCTTCACCATTTTGCGTCTCAGCAGCGCCAGTGCCAGAACTCCATCCTGGCATGGGTTAGGGTTTAGGGTTTAGGGTTTAGGGCTTAGGGCTTAGGGTTTAGGGTTTAGGGGTTCCAGGAAGCTTCAAAGGTTGGAGACACTCAAGATGTAGCAACCTGAGCAACTGCGAATGTTTTCTCCTTGTGCTTCATATATCCACATACAAAATATGAAACAATTAAAGCTATGACCCAAATGCCGTAGTCAAAATGGCAAGTTTCTACAAAAATTGAGGTCCACTGGCCCTTCACACTCCCCCTAAGAACCCGAAGCTCCACATGAGTCCTGCCCTTTCAAGGGCTGATCGGTGAAACTCTCTCCAGAGAGATGCACATAGCTGCTCCGCGTCAATCGTTCCTCAGCTAATCCCATCCTCTGAGAATTGACCACCCCATGGCCGCAATGGTACATAATATAGCACCATTCTATAGTGGGGGAAGGCTCATTGAGGAGATTAGTTTGGAAGCGGTTTTCTAGATGACTACATTCATCACCCTAGAAAACTATAGAACCCATCTGTAGCGTCTAAGCTCTGACCCTAAACCTTCAATCCGCAACCCTAGACCTGGTGACTACAACCTAATCTCCCACCTAAACCCTAAGCCCCCTTGCCTAAATCCTAAACCATACAGTCTAAAACCTGAACCCTACACCCTATAGAATCCCCATGTACTCCCTATACAACCTCTATATAACTCCTAAATCCCATTTTAAACCTCCAAGCTCAAAGCCCTGAGCTGGAGCGAGATGCGGCAGCTGCGCTTGCGCCATCCACGCTGGTCAGGGCCATGGACCGCAGCAGTGCTAGGTCCTCCGAGGATGAGCTGCACATGTACTAGGGCTGAGCTTAGGGCTTAGGAAACAACCACTATGTCAAATCAAGTGTGAAATGGGATGTATGAGGATAATGGAAGAGAAAGTGGAAACTGCGCTTCAGGCTCTCAGGTTTAAAGCTTAGGATTTGGGTAGGGTATCTGAGGACTTTGTAGGGCTATACACGGAGCATATGGAGATCATACTAGGGAGCATGTCAAGAGCCATGGCAGTATACTTATAGGGCTTAGGGATAGGGTAATGAGAATACAGACATGATATTTGGTAGTCGTTCAGGTTTCTACACTAGGGCTCGAGGAGTTTAGGTTTTACTAAAGCTGATCTTGAGAGTTTGTTGTGGCTTTGCGCTCTATATGAAAACTAGGAGTCCAAAGTGTAAGTTTAAGGTTTAAGGCCACCAGAGGACATTCTCTGAAACTTTGGAGACAGGCGGAGATGGGTTTGGGTACCCTACGAGTCCTTTTTCAGCCGTGCCTCCTCGCCATGCCTCACGGCAGGCGCAGGCTCAGGCAGGGTTCGGTTTTCGAAGGTAGAGTAAAGGGATATTAGGGTTTAGTGTCCTGCCCCGACCCAGCAACATATGAATATTCCCCAGCTGTTAATGGGTGGAGGCAGTACCCAAGATTCCGCCCCCCAGGTTCCGCAATTAAGCTTACTTGGGGATAAGTAGGCCTGATTAAGATTCATTAAGGGGAAACCTAGGGGGTAGAAAAGGGGGGAGGGTAGTAGGGGAACCCATGAAACTTGGGATACGTGTCACATGATAATAACTACCTGTAGGGATACGTATAAGGTCCTTTATAAGTTGATGGTAAAAAGATTGCAGAGGTCCCACGTAGGACCCGCCGAGTACTTTCGTTCTTCTTATGGAATACTGTACTAGAAGGGAGGATATAGTCTTACTCATATTGGGGGCCAGTATGCCGATTCAAGATACTTCTCATATGAGCCATAATCCAAACTCCTGTTATCCCCCCAATATCCCCCATAATACTCTCCTAAATGGTCCGCTATATAACCCCCTTTAAGGAACTTAGGCTATAGCTCATATGAGCGCGATGTCTCTCCACTTCTTAAACGCTGAACGTTCTAGCAGGTCAGCGCGCACCTGGAGCGTGTGCTACCTGCAACAGAAAGAAAATCCTAAACTATGATTTAGGCGGACCCCACACCCTGTATAAGTGGCTATAAGGGTTAAATGAGGATTATATATTGGGGTCCTATTATTTTCCTATTATACCACTATTGCAGGGTGGGGGGTCCTCCTAAACCATAAGACCCGACCCCGAAGACGTCCAACCGAACTCAAACGCCTAAGCCGAAAAGCTTTCCCAAATGCACCGTGGATGCAGCCAATAAGGTAAACCGGCCAACAGGCCGCCTCCGATGAGACATGCCTGGGTTTAGGGATTAGGGTCAGGGTGTATGCCAGGGTCATAGGTAAATGATTTGGAAGTTTCTCAGGCTGGGGGGCCTAAAATGGGGATTAAGAGAGAGGGGTTCCTGAATGGGGGTTTTTAGAGGGGCTGAGCCCATTCAGAAACAACCGTTTTGGGGTTAGGCTCTAGGGCCCCTTCCCCAAATCTACCTACGGGTATGTCCGCCGATCAAAGGTGGGCTGTCCTTGCAGCTCTTGGGGATACGATGGTTTTTCGGTTTGGGGTTTAGGGTCCAGGGCGAGCATTAAGAAAAAAAGCGCACAGAACTTTTGACGGTTTCTCCAAGTTCGTAGGTCTCTTTTGCTGGCTTTTTGCGACGAGGGCGGTGCTGTTCTGCAGGTGTTTATCAGGGGTCGTCTATTCAAAAAACCCTCATGACGCCTTTTTTATGATTTCGTGCCTGCAAACCCGCGACGACCCTCAGAAACCGCCCTCTAGAATCCTTTGTCAAAATCCCCAACATGCTGATGCCCATGTCACACCCAGATTTTGAGCCTGCTTACAACTTGAACCGCTGGTATCAGGTGGACAAAAGGCGTGAGGAACCCTTCAAACCCAACTCTAAACTCTAAACGCCAATCGGGTTCAACTTTGAAAATGCCTGAGGCTGCTGTCTTGGTCTCAGGGCTTAGGGCTTAGGATTAGGGGTATGAAGAAACAAGCTCGAAAAGGTTGAAGCGTGTCGTTGGGATAAAGCTACGTCCCAAGTCCAGCGTGAGACACAGGGATCCCTGATGTGGACCCACTGCGAATCCTACAAACAAGCTGCCCATCGTCACCTGGAACATTGGATCGGTCTTGCAAAATGTGAAGCCTAGGCTTTTTTGTGAAAGCACGAGATATACACCATATCTGCCTACAGGAAACGAAATCAGCCACTTTCCCTCTTTCGAACCCTGACCCCTAAAAACTAAACCCTAAAACCCATGTAGCCCCGTTGACCTAAGCCTGAAACCCCAAACCCCTAAATCCTTAACCCTTTTTGCATGTGGCCTAAACCCTAAACCCTAAACCCTAAATCCTTAACCCTAAAGCCTAGACCTTGTAACCCAAGATACCAAGCCGGCAGACTGCCCGTCGTCAGGGCCTCGGCCCTCCTGCCGCTCTGGCTGGGCCATGGCGCGCAAGGCAAGCTCTGCCCCAAAGGAATCAGGGTGAAAGGGAGTAATAGTAATAATAGTAATACTATTAATATTGGTAATAGTAGTAATAATAATGACAATAGTAATAGTAATAATTAGCAGGTGCATTGAAAATGGTCTCGGGCTTAGGGGTCTGGCAAACACTTGCAGATGGCTGCGTCCGACAATCCGCATGACATACACCACAATCTTCATGTGGGTGGAATCTACAAAGACCTCCACAGCTATTTAGGGCTTGGGGTTAGGATTCAGGGAGTAGTCGGGGCGAGGAGGGCTTAGGGACTAGAGCTCAGGGCCTTTCGGGTCATAGTTGCATGTGGAGATTGATGAGGTTTAGGACCTTGGGCTTATAGTCCCCCTTAAGTAGATAGAATATGGGGTATATGGGGATCTTATTACAACATACCAAACGCCATATTCCATCTACTTAAGGGGGACCATGCCTAAACCCTTAACCCTAAATGGTCGTTTCCAATTTCTTTTCCATTATCCCTATATTACCTTATATTCTATCTACTTAAGGGGGACTATACGCCTGCACACCAAACACAGCTCGCAAAGGCGATGGGTTTGAGGTGCCTGGCTTATGATATCACAGCTAGGGCGTTGTCCCGCTCAAGTAGATAGAATATGGCTTTGGATACATTATAACAAGATCCCCAGACACCCCATGTTCTATCCACTTAAGAGGGACTATAAGCCTGAGCTCTGCTGCATTTGACCCCACAGCTAACCCCAACCTCGAAATTCCATATCCCGCATCTCTAAGACACTTTAGCTTCCTTCAAGTATGCCTTTAAGATTTGAGGCAAGTAGGTTCCTTGGATACCTAACCTCGGAGCACTTGAAGATTCGTAGGTAATGATAAGTAGCATAATTACCCTAACTTAGGTTTATGGCTAACCCTACGAAAAACTAGCCATAAGCCTGCAAGTATGAGGCAAATCTCGCTATCCACTCTACCCCTGGTTAAGCTCTAAGCCCTAATCCCTCAGCCCTAATTATGCTCCCTTGAACATGAGGGATCCCACAATCCATCTCACTCATTCACTGCACGTGACTTGTATACATGCTTTAGGGGGGTTGCAAACTGGAGCAACCCAAACCTGAAACACAAAAGACTTCATCCATCAGCCCTGAACTCTAGACTCCGAACCTCAGACCTCGAACCCGTACCCTAAACCCTATACCCCAAACCCCAACTCCTATACAACCTTCAAAATCGCAAAAAGCCAAACAATTCTGAAATCAACCAATGCCTTAAACCCAAAGCACCAGCCTCGCCATCGATCTCAGCCATGATTCTATTGTAGGACTTGGAACTCCTCAGCTCTCGAGTTTAGGGTCTTAGGGTTAAGGGTTTATAGGGTATGGGATTTAGGGTTTTGGGTTAAGGTTTTATGGTTTTAAGGTTTTAGGGTCTAGGGTTTAGGGCTTGGGGTAAGGTGAAATCATTTCCAGTACCAGTAACAATTACCACAAGAAGTACCAGGAGTTCCAATGGCCCCTAAACAGAAGCCCGTTGGAGAACAGTTAAACCCTAAACCCTAAACACTGTTAAGGGGGAGCCTAGGTGAAAGAATCTACGGATAGGGAAGAAATCCAAAGGGATCTCTCTCATTCACTAGGGCTACTTTTGATGACTGCTAGTTGTTAGAACGGTTGAAAGCTTACCCTACACCCTGAACCCTAAAACCCTAAACCCTTACCCTAAACCCTAAACCCTAAACCCTAGAAGCCGTTTGCCAACATTGTTCCCTAACGACGCAGCACCCATCCTTAAGCCCAAGCCCTGGGTGTCTTTGCCAGAGGTCAGTTTAAGCTGCCATGGGTTTAGGGTTTCGGGTTTAGGGTTTCTACATTGCATGAAATAACAAGCAATACCAACCCGTGCCCCAACACTACCCTAAACCCCTACACTCTGAACCCTAAACCTTAAACGCCCACAAACCCCTTTCTTGTAGATTGCCAACCTGTAACCCTACACCTTTGAGATTTTTATAGGGGTCCTATGAGGGATATAGGGTCTCTTTACAGGGGTTCTAGAGGATGCATACGGATTATATGTAGCAAGGTCACTAGATATGGGTACAGTATTTATTGCACTTGCCAGGATTATTGGTTACTGGTTAGGCGTAGTAGCACTGAGAACTATAGCGTTGCATTCCCTATGGTGGTTTGGTTCGAAAAGCGCCAAGAACGTTTTATTCAGCAATGGCCCGGAATGTAACTACAATGCTTCCCATGCTATACGCCTTCCTCCATTAGCTGCATCATTGCCGACCAAGATTCAAAGGGTCCCCGAACTGGTTGCTCTCTAAATCGCCTCGATCAAAGAGGAACTCCCTGGCAAAGTAGTGGTGAGACCTGAGAGGCGCAGGCTGCTACAAGGAGGTTTAGGGTTTAGGGTTTAGGGTGCTACAGGGAGGTTTGGGTTTGGGGGTTATATAGGGAACTATATGAAACAGGTACATATTATGAGGGTCATATGGGGATAATGGAAAATACGATGGAAACTACTATAGTATATTGCAGTGATATGGGGGATTATTGGGGGTTGCCATTTGGGATTTGCGCATTTAGCTAGATGGGTAAGCTTTGATGAGCAGGAACCGGCCAGCGTGTCTAACTGAATTAGGCACCTGCGGGGTGAGTATTCTCATAGACCACCAGTGGGTTAGGTGAGGTCAGCACAGTTCGCCCAGAGCCTTTTCCTCAAATAGGGTAGAACGAACCCAACAAAAATCCTGTGCAGAATAAGAGACCGGAATTAAGTTTATAACCCCTATATAACCCCTAGATAACCCCAATATAACCTCGATATAACTTGGGATTGTGGTGCTTAGTGACTTTGAGCTGATCCGCCTTTAAGCTGGCAATGAGAAAGTAAAACCTGAAGTCTAGCTTGCATGTTTTGCAGCTCCCCTACCATCCGCACATAATTCCTATAAAACCTACATTACCACAATACTACCCTAGATTGGCCCTTTATATGAACATCACCATTGGGGTGAGTGCGGGGAGGTGGTCATAGTTTGCCGGGTCATGCTTTACTTACGGGTGGTTACTAGGGGATCAGGGAATATGATCGCTGCTCATTTTTTTATTCCCTAGTTAGCAACCCTCAACCCTAAACCCTATATACTTATGTCTGTAGTCTCCTTAGCCCTAAAATAAAAAGAACCAATTCTGAAGGAGACTACAGATATCTCCTTATCCCCTACTACCCCCGTAAGCTTTAGGGTGGTGGATCTCCGGTCTCTCATCCCGAATGAAGCCTGTGTGCTCAAGCATCCAGCCTTTCCAAGCTGTTCAGTTCCATGTTGACACTTACTTCCTTCAGTCACACCCTCAACCCTAAAACCGTAAACCCTAAACCTAAGACCCTACACCCTGAAACCCTAAACTCTAAAGCAATAAACCTAGAAACCCCGAACCCAGGCCCATGCTAACCAGAGGAGGAATATGGGTTTAGGGTTTAGGGTCTAGGGCTGGGGATATTACCCTATGAATGGAGAATCAAACGGAAAAGAATATGGGAATGAAATGGAAACTGGGTTTATATGAGCGTTCGCGGAAAGTCCTTGTATAATCCGATGCCATAGACAATTTGGGGGGGTCCTATCGCTGTTGGAGGTTTTGGCGTAGGTTACAAGAAAGGTATCAAAAAACGTCATGGCTACGTCTTAGATTGAGGGGTATCGC